GAACGAGTCTTAGGTGGTTGCAGTCGTTGGCTTGTGTCCAATAGTTAATTGACGACAAGTTAAGTCTGCTGGGCGATTAGCACAAATTCGCTAGCGGCTTCCTAACAACTATAGTCATTTACTCCACACGGCCGATGGATTCCACACTCACAGCCCTCCCCGCCCCCCCCCCACGCTCTAGAATGGAAACTTCGTCTTCTCCTATCGCCGTCTACCAGCAAAATTCAACAGGCTTAGGTTTCCCTAGTCAATAAAACTTCTTTTTATCCCGGTTAGAGTTATGTCCCAAAATATGTAAGAGAGAAATGTTGTAATATAGTATGATTTGTACGAATTACACTTTTGGGATTCGAGTGTCAAAATTTACATAATGTGAGCTTAACATGAAGTCTGACGGGTTATGTCAAAAATTTCTAAAGGAGTATTGTCTGGCCACTATTTTTTCGTCGTAAGTTTACAAAGTAAGTGGTTAGTTAAGGTATGGATATATAGGCTGCCCACCGCCCCGATGTGTAAGTGTCTTGCGTGTATGGATATAAGGCTGGTCACCGCCCTCGAACTCTGTAAGTGTTTGTGTCATGCGCATATAAGGCTTCCACGCCTCCCGATTGTAAGTGTTTTGTGTATGGATATAAGGCTTGTCTACCCCAATGATTGTAAGTGTTTAGTGTATGGCATAAAGCGTACTTAAGCCACTTCTAGAGTGTCCACCGCCCATCCAATTATGAGTCGTTCTCGTGTATAGTCTAAGTAATGTTGAGAAACATTGGGTCTTTCAGCCCGAACTGGCCCGAAGGAGAGAGAGGAGCAGAGAGAGAGAGGAGACCCCTGCCTTCCCGCGCCCCGCCCCCCCCCTCGCCATATCGCCTGCTCGCTAGTCAAATTTCAAATGTTGAAAAGTCTTGGTAACAATTTTAAAGTTGAAAAGAGACCCACTAACTCAAATACAGAAACCGTATTAAAGTCGGCTGAAACACAAAAAACCACCCCACACCCAACGTGAAACTTAACAAACAGATATCCACAAACAGATCGCCGACGTCGACGTCAAATGCGCGGGCCGTACCGCAAGGCACTCGACGCCGACCCAAATCTCTTCGCTGAAGCGGTTCGTGCGGTAGTTTCGAGAGAGGTGGACAGCCCACCAGCACCTGCCCTCACCCCAGACCGTACCCACCCGACACACCACCCTCATATCCGCTCAATGTTAGACGGAGGGCGTACTTGTCACGTCACCAATATACAAAAAAAAAAACAAAATCCTGACGTGCTCTTTCGCCCCCACCTCGGCGCACACTCTCGCCCATCACTCCAATTTCCTGCGCCAGGGAACGATGGGGAACAGTGAGGTCACTTATCTTTCTCATCTCGCTCAGCACACACCCACTGCAGGCGGCCACAACCGCACTTTTTTGCTCCACAACTCTCTCTCGACCGACTCGTGCCCCGTCCGACCGCACACGAGGGTACTTCCAACTAGAGCGGCGGACCGCATCTTAGGGGCGGCGAGCTTCGTCAACAACGAAAATCCTCCTGTCCCACGACCAATACACGGACTTCTTCTCTTCCCTTGAATAGACCGAGAGTCTCATTTTAACCTACAAACCCCGGTCGAACAGGTCAACTACAGACTGTAACCAAACCCCCCCTACACCACTACCCAACACCCTCGCCCCGCTCCCTGTGCGGCACTCAGGCCCGCGCCCCCCCCCCCCCCGGGCCTTCCCGCCCCCACTCGCCGCCCGGGCACCACAGGCCCCCCTCTCCCAGCCAAGCAGTAAACTTACATAGACTCAATAACTTCTGTTAGGTCAATTAGTAGGTCAGAGTAATTTCCCGGAATAAATTATCAGCCCTCCCGACTCTAACAGGAGAGGAGAACAGGAGAGGAGAGGAGAACAGGGGAGGAGAGGAGAGGACTAAATAATCAAAATGAGAGAGAAAATGTGCTGAGTCATTCCTTACTCCACAATTCATTTCTATTTACCCTGTGCTCTCCCTAGTGGTTTACATAAGATAAAGGAAAGTATTACTCTGTACAGTGAGTGGTTTGATTAATTCACAGAAAGCAATTCAAATAGACTTTTAGGGGAAACAACGCATTGACATAACTTTAGGGAAATGGATCTGTGTGTGAGTTTGTTGCAGAACACTTCTTACCAAAAGGTGGATGCAAAACGGCAGAGTAAGTTGTGTCTACAGACATGCACTCTTACACACTAACATCTATAAAACATATAATAGTTAAAATACACTTACACATTTAGTTACTTTAATTAAAAACGGACTTTAGCCTATATTTGAAACAATGTGTCTCCCACCAGATCACTGCCTTCAGGTTGGATCAAGGAGAGTATGTGAGGGTTCAGAATGTGATGTTGGTGAAAGGCTTACCTGTGTGTGGGGTCACCAGCAGATCCATGGTCTTCTGAGAGAGGCTGGGCCACACTGTGGACAGCTCCTTCTTTAACTCAGCGTCAGAGAGTCGCTGGGCTACCATGCCTGGAGATACACAGAGACACACTTTTAACGTTTTAATTCAAACACAACTGCCAGCCACAGCACAGTATACAGTGTTGCAATAAAAAAGGGAGGGAAGGAGAGACAGAAAAAATTATCATATTCCAACTACCGTACATTTAAGAAACAGAGCATGGAAAGCACTTAATGCGTTCCTGAGATCTGAAATTAGAAATCTCCATCAGAAGTGCAGATAGATGCAGTGAAGGCAGGAAACAAGACCCAGATATGCTCAGGAACACGCAGCCTTCCAATGAGTGCAAATGGAGGTCACATTTACTTATTTCCACACCAAAAAAAGTGAAACGTTGACTTTAATCAAATGTAGGTTAGTTAAAAGCAATAATAATATTATTGCTTAACTAACCTAATGACACACATGATAGTGTGGTGTGGTTTTCTAACCTGAGTCCAGTTTGATCTCCAGGGCAGTGCGGATGAGGGCCATCAGGGTGGAGGTGAAGTGGACGCTGTTGTCCTCGGCGATGGGCATGTTCATTTTGACAAGACGCTGAGGAGTGGAGACGAGTTGTGACAGAGAGACTTTAGATGACTGAGTGATAGCAGACAGCCCCAGCAGAACATACAGCTCACCCAGAGAAAGCAGTCTGTGTGCTGCTGCCCTTCAATACCCGCCATGGATTCAATCTGTTAGCATAAAGTACCTTAAAGGTGACTTGCTAAATGTTGTTATTATGTGTACAAGATTGGCAATAGATAAAACGTTACTGAGACAGCACACAAAAGGCCTTCTCCACAAGAACGTACAGAGGTGACAAACTAGACATTCACATTCACTGCTATTTGCTACAGTATGCACTACGCTGCAAGTCAAAGTGCACTGGTGCAAGACTGATATTGACCGAACTAAAGGTGAGAGTAGGCATGTAACGCATAACCATGAAGTTGCCTGGACAGTCGCAGGAGCTCGACTCTGGTTGCTATCCTAGCAGTCATCAACTTGGAGTTGAGATGGTTGAGTATGCTCAACATGTACCGTGGCACAGTATGCTACATAAAGAGTGTGTATTCCATCAAGCCTGGGCAGCCTTAGAAGCAATACTTTGTTTGTATAGGACTTATGTACCACAAGACGCATACACAATGCTATTGGATTGTTTGTTAGAGTTGAGCTCCCCTGGACACAAAAAGCATTCACCTACATGTGCTATTAGTGGCAGTGCAGAGAGTAAGACAGACCATAGTCAGAAAGAGATGGGGGTGGAGAGCTGAGGAGCATGCACACACTCACTCTCACACACACACACGCACACACACACGCACACGCACACGCACATGCACACGCACACGCACACGCACACACACACACACACACACACACACACACACACACACACACACACACACACACACACACACACACACACACACACACACACACACTCGCAAATATGCATGTGGTCTGTCATTCACCTAAACGCACAAACAACTACATGCTGCACAATCAATTATACAGACAGGAGAACAGTTAGTAAAGTACTATGCTGCAGGTGTTTAACATTTAAAGCAATTGAGAAGCTATATTTGATTTAAATACCAATCATTTTTAAAGCCTCATAGAAGATATGCAAAAATGGGGTCAATAAGATCAACATGCATTATCAGCTGGTGCAATGTCAATCAACATGGCAGATTTCAACAAAACATGTGGAAGTTTGTTTCATTTACAGTTTAAAAGGGTCAAAACGACTAGACCGGTTATATTATATTGAGTTGTTAATATATTACACATTAAACTTAATGTTTACTACAATTTTTAAAACCTAGATAATTCTCTAACATTAATCAATATTGCATTTAATCTGTGTGCCTGTGTGGCGTCACACCCCCTAACATGCAGCGTTTAGTTGTCTGCCAGAAGTTTTAAGCCACAATTGTTGGATACACATAGTTTTTAACTGTAAAATAACAGTACAGGATTTAAGTCATCAGACATCTGGAAAGAGTGATATTAAACGTGAAACTGACTCTGTGGGCAAGGAACACTGAAGGAATCCTGACCAGGAAAAGCAAATAAATATTCCCATAATCCCATGCTCCTCACTGTGCCATTATTGTTTGGCTGGAATGAAAGTCTGGTTGTAAAACTCAATTCAACTCAACTCAAACTCAAGTATAAAGAGGGGGCTCCAGCAACTCCAACCTGATCTAAAAAAAAGCAATTGTCTCTAAAGTTCTAATGGGATCTGGGCACATTAGGGGTCGATGGAGATTGCTCCTTATTCGAGCCAGACTCAAGTGGATATTTGACAAATTGTAGTGTTTGGCCCTTCTGCATAAGCCATCCAGATACAGATCCCACCAACTGCTTTATCAGGTGGAAATGCCATCCTAATGAATATTTATCTTAAAATAAATACACACGCACAGACAAACACACACAAATATTTCCAACAGTGACTGAGATGAGATGAGAGAAAAAGGGGATGGGCAGCGAAGACAGAATCATAAAGTGAGAAGCACATAGTATTACTCCCACAGAAAAGCAACAGAAGCTACACAAACACTAACCTGCAAGAGCTCACGCACACACACAGCCTCACAGTAACACACACACACACCCACACACACTGCTCCACAGAGTCAAACCGGGGTGTACCATTCAAAGGAAATAATAATATTACAACAAAAGGGAGAAAGAATCCTGCATAATTAAGTATAGGTATGTTGATTAAAATAACTGTATGTCTTAAGCTCTGTTATCATTGGAGATGGGTCTTAGCCCACAGGAAGAAAGAGTACAGACAGTAAAGATGAGGTAGGGGCTTACACCAAAAATATCAGCGCACTAGCAAAACAAAGTGAAGAGAGGAGGGAAAACTGCAGAGCACAGACGTTGGCTTGAGTTCACGCCAATGAGAGAAAGACTGTGGAGCACAGGAGAGAAGATGGAGGAGGGTGAGGGTCTACCTTGTAGGCGACTCTTGGCGGACATTTCTTTCCCAAACCTAACGGCGGGGACATGTGGAGCAGCATCTGATACATATCGAGATACTTGATACGGCCACTTGACAGGGTAGGAAATCAGAAATAAACAAAACGCAAACAGAGAAGGATGGGGAGTTAGAGAAGGAGGTGAGGAACCAAGGAAGAAGAACAAAAGAACAGGAGAATAATGGAAAGGAGAAACAGAAATCTGTGTTAGTAGATTTCCTAGGGTGAGATGGAAGGTGGATGTCATCCTTGGCCGCGGTGGCGGGGCACAGGGATGCATCGCTGTGGAGCTCAGGATCCCTGACAGGAAACATGGAGTGGTAAAGAGTGAGTTTGGTGGGAAAGGGGAGGGGGGAAAGAAGAAGGGAGGATGGGTTTACCCAACACAAAGAATGCTGATAGGAGGGAAGAGAAATGACAGCATTGTCACGGGATGTCTGCCTCAGCATGCCAGCAGACATTCCACTAGAACCAGGGTGCACGGAGACAAAGGTTTCAATGCCAGCACAAGAGAGGTCTGAGGCAGAGACGTCTCCATCAAAATATAAAATCCTTCATCAGGCTTTGGACCTTATTCGTATTTTTTAAGATTAAGTAAAGTCTTTTTTCATATAACAAACATGCCTCAATGTTTTACACGTTGTATACACATGTCCTGAAACTAGTGATCAGTACTTTGATGCTGACTATTAAAATGTGTGTGCTGTATACTGTAACTTTGCTGTGGCTTTGAAAGCTTTGTTTCCACTCCTGCATCACCAACCAAAGCCAGTCAGTTTGAAGTGGCGGGTGCTCGTGTAAAGGTGATTTCATTGGTGCACAGCCATTCAGTTTAAAGTCTCTTGGCATAGAAGTACACAAAGCACCCTAGTGACGGAAATGTCAGGTATTTGCAAACCTTATATGCTACCCTATTAGGGCAGTTCTTCCCTAAGCCAAGGGGGGGTGAGATAATTCGTAACAAATTGTACATATCCTTATAGGAAATCCGTCCGCTGTGGAGAAGAACAAGCACATAAATAAACAAACGTTCAAGACAGCAGTAAATCAATAATCATCGGGCTGACTGCATACAACAAGCTATAGGAACAAGGCTTCTGCACAAGGCCACATTTAGTAACCTTGGTAACAAAGGGGGAAAGATAGGAGTAAAGTTAGGGTATCTGTTCCCCTCACTCTACTTTGCATGCTACTCTCGGGGGCCCAGAGGGAGACGTGAACATACCATGCAGCCGGGTCGTACTCGGCCCACACCCGGATGAACTCATCGAGGTGATGAGGCCCCAGGATGGAGGAGTCTCTGGTTAGGTACTCAAAGTTATCCATTATCACAGCCACAAACAGGTTCAGCATCTGCAAAACACAAAGCACAGTTACTCCTGTGTTCGACCAGGTAACAGCAGCATCTGAAACCAGCAGTATATTTCAACAATTTCCTCATGTTTTTGTGTGTAAGTGACTAAAGACAACAACCACCCTGCTCTGTCAGTATATAAACTATGTCAATAAAGAGGAACGGCTCCAAAGCAGGGATTCTGATACAGATAGGTCACTTTAACAGAAACTGAATGAACTGAATAAATAAGCAATCAACCTCGTCATCACGCTAGTTCTTGAAGAATCAGAATCAGGTTTAAAACCTAAGTAGATTTATTGACCTAGGGATGAAATCAATGTGAGCTTCCTGCAAAGCCAACATGTCACATCTGAATGTAATGCTCTGGCAGACTTCAGACTAACCAGGAAGGAGCAGAGAAAGATGAAGGAGACAAAGTAGAAGTAAGCAAAATCACTGCCGCACTCTTTCCCTTGGGAGCCGGATCGCTCGTCACAGACTTGGTGACTCAGACATGACAACATGATCTCTTGCCAGGCCTCACCAGTTGCACTCCTGATAGAACAGAGGCAGAGAGAGAGACAGACTATACCTGAAGAGAAATACATGGCTGGCAGCATTTTTTATCAGCTCCAGCTCCACGAATATTAAACAGACATTATAATGTAGAATGAGCAGTAGTTCAAATTCAGAATCAGAATCGTTATTCCTTTAATAGTTACACAGCCAAACAAGTACACAACCATGGCTACAAAATGTGTAGCAGCAATTTAAGTAAAACTAAGTGACATAAATAGCATATTAAGTATTGTGACCTTGAAAAAGTTTGAGGACATTTATGAAAGATGTATTTTTCACATAAAGTGATTATAGCACCAATATAATTGCAAATACACTACCAGTCAAAAGTTTGGACACACCTTCAAATTCAAAGTTTTTTATCTATTTTAATTTGTTCTACTTTGTAGATTAATACTGAAGACATCAAAACTATGAAAGAACACATTGAATCATCCAGTTAACAAAAAAGTGTCAACAAATCCAGAATATGATTTTTATTTTAGATTCTTCAAAGTAGCCCCTTTCAGCTTTGCACACTCTTGGCTACTCTCAATCAGCTTCATGAGGTCGTCTCCTGGAATGGTTTTCAGTTGATACGTGTGCCTTGTCAAGAGTCAATTTGTGGAATTACTTGCCTTCTGAATGTGTTTGAGACCATCAGTTGTGTTATGCAGAGGTAGGGTTAGTGCACGGTGGAAAGCCCTATTTGACTGCTGTTGTAATCCATATTATGGCAAGAACCACTCAACTCAGTAAAGAGAAACGACCGTCCATCATCACTTTAAGAAATGAAGGCCAGTCGATCCAGAAAATGTCAAGAACTTTGAATGTTTCCTCAAGTGCAGTCGCAAAAATCATCGAATGCTATGATGAAACTGGCTCTCATGAGGACCCCCCCAGGAAAGGAAGAGCCAGAGTTACCTCTGCTGCAGAGGATAAATACATCAGAGTTACCAGCCTCAGAAACTGCAAATTAAAGCACCTCACATTAGAGCCCACATAAATGATCACAGAGCTCAAGTAGCAGGTAATCTCAACATCCACTGTTTAGAGTCTAAACAGTGGATGTTGAGATTACCTGCTACTTGAGCTCTGTGTCAGAATCGCGTTTTTCAAAACGCGATTCTGCGATCGCAGAATTTACTGCATAATCAGCAAAATGGCGCAGATTTTTAAAAGGCCGCATATTTATCAAAAGGCCGCATAATCCCCGCATTTTTCCACAAAAGTTGAGAAGAAAAAAAGTTATCTCGTCTTGACGTGACGTCATCAGCTCGCGCATCACAGAATGTAAACAACACTGTATAGAGTGAACGTGTGGAGCTCACACGATAGAGAAAACACCAAGATGAAAAAATCTAATCCATCTCATTTACCGACGAACATTTCTANCTACTAGTGCTTTACAGTATACGCAAGTCAGTCAGCCTTGTTTGGATTGCAGCTGCACTCCTGGCATGAGGGCCTCTTTTCTACCCCACACCGAGCCTCCGGCACAAGAGGGTAATGAATACTCACGCTGACGGCCAGGCCCAGCAGGAAACGATGGTGACTATATCCAGAAATAAACCTTTAGACACCCTCGGTAAAACAATTTAAACAAGATCTTTAATTGTAGATTATATCATTTTACTGATACCAACTATATAACTATGTTACTTGTTCTTTAAAAAATAAAAATATAAAAAATATTTTTGGGGAAATATATTTTTTATGAATTTTTAATTTTTAATACATATCAAGAAACATGTGCGCCGCTATTGACAAACATGTCAATAGCGGCGCCCCTAGCGCCCCTATTGACCGGCCGCCACTGTATGTGGGGGAAACTTCTGAAGCAATTGGAGACGGGACTCAGAGAGACACAAGGAGGAGAGCTGGAGCTTTGATGGCAAACACTGACGGTTTATTTGGAGCTTCGGCCGGAGAATTCACAAGACATGTCACGGGCCACGATCTGACCACACGGTTGAGATGCCAAACCAATTCTGAAGAACTCTTCTGTAGTTCCAGGTTTTAACTAGTTCGGAGTGTAATAATCAACATTCTTTATCAGCGAGACTAAACAAATACAGACACTGAATCTAACAAGAGCTCTCGTGCATAGAAAATAATGTACGCCAGGGAATCTACGTTCCAGATAAAAGAAAGGCCTCTAGATGTCCCTGAATAATAAACTATCTCATGTCAGCTTGTGCTCGGTGATAAGCTGGCAACAACAATGCGCCAAGCTGCCCCTCGTCGTACAACTATGCCATGGGAAAAGAGACAGTGAGAAGAGAAAATGACGAACTTTGTCGAAGGTTGAATACCTAAGCAAATTATTCCCTAACAATATATATATACATACATACATATACACAGAATATATATTTTGGGAGAGATATACACTAGTATTGGACGAAGTCAAAAGTTTGGACAAATCTTCTCTTTTATTTTTTTTAATTGGTTCTACATTGTAGATTTATACTGAAGACATCAAAACTATAAAATAACACATATGAAATTGTCTAGTAAACAAAAAAGTGTTTAAAAAAAACAGAATATTACCTATATTTTGCTGGCTACTGCAGAATGCTGTGGTAGCCTTGCTGGTTCAGTGTTCCTTGAATTCTGAATAAATCGCCAACAGTGACACCAGCAAAGCTCCCCCCCCTGACTGCACTTGAGGATACATTCAAAGTTCTTGACATTTTCTGGATCGACTGGCCTTCATTTCTTAAAGTGATGATGGACGGCCGTTTCTCTTTACTGAGTGGAGTGGTTCTTGCCATAATATGGATTACAACAGCAGTCAAATAGGGATTTCCACTGTGTACTAAGTCTACCTCTGCACAACACAACTGATGGTCTCAAACACATTAAGAAGGCAAGTAATTCCACAAATTGACTCTTGACAAGACACACGTGTTAATTGAGAACCATTCCAGGTGACGACCTCATGAAGCAAACTGAGAGAAGCTAAGGGTGTGCACAGCTGTCATCAAGGCAGAAGGGGGCTACTTTGAAGAATCTAGAATTAAAAACCATATTCTTGATTTTTTTAACACGTTTTTATTAACTAAATAATTCCATATGTGTTCTTTCATAGTTTTGATGTCTTCAGTATTAATCTACNGCTGGACAGTGACACTGAAGAGGAAGACTCAGAGTTGGATGTTGATGAGGCCCAGGAAGAGCCCGTTGACTGAAAGGGTTTAGCCAAAATGCAGAGGATTGCTTAATCCTCTGCATTTTGGCTAAACCCTTTCAGTCAACGGGCTCTTCCTGGGCCTCATCAACATCCAACTCTGAGTCTTCCTCTTCAGTGTCACTGTCCAGCCTTGTTGAGGATGGCTCTGTGTCAGGCTCAAAGAGCCTTAGGTTTGCCCGAATGCCAACCAGTTTTTCCACTCTCACATTTGTGAGCCTGTTGCGAACCTTTGTGTGGTCTCAATAGCCATGCAGTAAGCAGTGTGCTATGGCATGGATATTCAAGTGTACTTGAATGGCATCTGTTTGTTTTAGTCAAGATTATGCTAAAATATACTCTCCCCAACTATTTCCTGTTCAACTGTTTCCTATGAAGAGCCAACCTTCAATTTAGAAAATTCCCAGTTAATTCCCATAAATTCCCGTTAATTCCCGTGGAAAGTTTCCATCTTTGAAAATTCCCGGAATTTTGCAACCCTAATCAGAACAGAGTGGGCGAGCTGACCAATCGGAGCACACTGGGCTCACAGGGAGGAGGGGCAGGAGCTCCAACAAGCCGTTTAGGATTGAGAATGAATACACATAAATACAGAGATGCTGTATGAGAAACCAATGTGAGTTTGGAAAATTGAACAATGTAAATCTATTCTAGTATACCTCAATAATGGAATTATGATCAGTAGAAACGGGTCCCTTAAGTATTTTTTTTTCTGACGAGTTTTTAATGTTACTCCCTACATTTTAACACAAATATCTGCACTTTCTACTTCTTACATTTTCAAAACGGGCTCGTTACTTTCGTTTTAATGCATGTGAGGTGAATTATAAATAATTGTTATTTTGCATCATTGCGGGCCTTCCCCAACATCAAGACTGATTTAAAACTAAATGGATGTGACAATAACACGTAGAGAAGACGAGCCATGGTGTGCAGATCATGCACGACAGACGAAAACAACGTAAAAGACGTATGAGGAAACAGCTAGGCAGAAAGGTCTAACTGCATAATGTCCATGAGTAACGCTATTACAGTCAGCGACAGGACTGAAAATGAAGATAACATTGACGGAGGCGATTCATCAGACCACCAGCAAGACATCCCGCATCCATGGCTGTACTTAAGGGAGATGTTTGAAGTTGTGGACGCAAAAAATGATTTGTGGCGAATGTACTATAATCATTTTTGTTTTATTTGTTTAGGCCTATATTAAGGCAAAGTAACCCATCTAAAATGTTGGCGACAGCAAATACAGGTACTTTGTTTTTGTTGTTCACGCTGAATACATTCAGAATGGTATTAATAAAAGTTTAAATGAAGCTTCTTTCCCCTTATATTAATAATATATTATATTAATATGATGTAAGGTTTAGTTAGCTTTGCACAAAAACAGCCAGTTTAAAAGTAACTTTTTACTAGAACTGCAAGTACATTTCAGAGATTGTGTATACTTTTGCCACCTCTGGTCATAAGCAACACGTTTTACAGACTATTTCCAATAAAATCAATACATATACTGTTTTGATTTTGTTGAATAACCTTTTGGTTCAACACCATACCAAAGTGATTCACATTAACCATATCTTCATAGTCTTGCTCTTTAATGTTTTTATTTTTCCTTTTTATACAACTATTATTCTGAGGCGTTCCGGAATGGCTACATTTAGGAAACTAAAAGCATTGAAGCATAGGTTGAACATTAGCAGCACATCAGGGTCATGGCAACTAAAACATTTTTTTTAATAATGTTTCTATATCCATGAAAATATCTGACCTTGACTATACCATCTTGTATTTGTGCAAAGTTTGTTTACATTTTTTCACACTTAATTTGACATTAAATCTGTCTGGAGGCAAACCTAAAGACTGTTCCCACTTGGACCCATTTGATGTGGTTGCAATAATGCACCTGATAGTCTGTCAATAATATTTGTTTTAATAAATATGATTGGCTTGAAAGGAGGGCTTTCTGTCACCTAATCCCTAACCGACAAGCAAGGGTGTGGGCTCCCTACAGAACATTGTAAAGGTTTCCCATGAAGAAAAATACAATTTTAGGCATACCACTTTGCAACAGCACTCCCAACCGCATCCAATCCAATGCACACACAATACATTTTATACAATACCGAAGTGAATTTGGCCGTTGAAAGTTGAAGGTTTAATGCTTTTTGTTCTGGACCTGTCACCTGATTTCTGGCCACCTGAGTGACAGCTTGCGTCAGAGGAATTGTCATTCCGGCTGATTAGTCTGTCAAGACTCGAAGGCCGTTGTTGCATCCTTCACATAATTAACATTGGCCACAAAAGACAGTGGCAGCTTTGGATATAATCAATTTGAACTGTGTTGCAGGGACATATCCTGTGTAAATAACAGGCTGTTAAGTAGCTGTTTATGTGCATAAAAGCATATAAAAAGGTGGAAAACGGGAATGTTTGTCACACGTTTTGAACAGGAGAAGGTATTTGTATTGTACTTTAGAAGGAAATGTAACCTTTGCACCCTTTATGGTACTATTCCAACACAGCTTACTCCATCAGACACAGTCTGAAACGCTACTTCATGAAAATGACAAGCGCATTGGCACATATATAAAAGCAGCAAAAAGTACAAGATCAGACATAGGCACGCTCACAAAGGGAGACAGCTATGCGAGATGCAACAAGAGGAAACAAACAAACAAGTCGACTCACTGGCATGCACCAGTCGCCACTGAAGCTCGCTGAAACTGAGTGACATCCGTTTACCTTTTTTGTTCTCTCCTGGATTCTCAAATTGCTCCATGGATGGGAAAAGCAAAAGAGCTCCCGAAAACACTGAGGTTGAATATGTGCATTTTTATTTTCCATATTCATCCCCTTCTGACAGGCAGGAACACACCTATTTAAAAGTAGTTTTTTTAATGTAGCAGGTCGTGTCAAGCCTTGCCACCTTGTTGCATTCGATCTGCAAAAAGGCAGATAAAGTACAAAACAGGGACAACAGGTTATTCTAAGGCAATTATTATGTTTCCTGAGCTTAAATGTTCCCTTCTTGCAATTATTTTTTTCGAATATTCATTCAAACACATTTTGAACCAAAAACTTTTAATTTCAAAGCTTCCTTTTGTAACATTTACAAGTGGTTACATCAACACTAAGCTTTGTCTATAAACTTTACACGGTTTCAACTTTTTCTCGCCCAATTGCACGCAACCTTGATGAACTTTTACAGAAGTTATCAAGAGCATTCGTCGTAAAGGTTAAAGAAAGGGTTTGGATTTGAAAAAAGTGACTGAAGTCCCTGTGAGAAGAGGAGAAGGGGGATGAGAGGAGGGAGAGAAGGGTAGGATGAGAGGAACAGACTGATTTGCAAAACCCTACAGCAGCCCTCAAGCTAAAATCCATAACTGTGCCGCTTTATGCTTGGCTGTCATAGCTCCGCGCTCAGTCACTCATCCAGACGCAGACATGCACACACACAGGCATGGATGCCCACCGCCAACAAGATACCCACAGCCACAGAAACACCTGCCACATTTATATGAGCACAATTATGGAGACAGATGTCCTTCTAAATGACATTCAGAAAATGTTGAGCTTTTTTAAAGTGTTATTCAACAGTAAAGGTCATGACAAAAATAAGATTTATAAACCTGCATTGGCCTCGTTTTGCACGAACACTCGTAATGGAACTTAATGCACATATATTATGCAAACACGCAAATGCTCATAATTGAACACTTTTGCTTAACATCTTTGAACTGATGAATACATTTGAACATTATATTTACTTTTACCCTTTGAATGCAGAGATTGTGCAGTGTGTGTGTTGTTGGTAAACTTCCTGTCACTGCCTGTGCCACGGTCCGGCAAAGGCCTTCCAAACGCCTCAGGGCATGCCGCCAGCCAACCAAAGATAAAAGTCCTCACCATGACAACGGCTGCAGTTATCCACTTTTCTGTCTTATCACCCTGGCGACCAACCTGGTTTTAGATCCCTTTCACGTAATAAAGTCTTCATCAGCACCTGTCGGGTATGGGGTAGGCTGCAATGAAAGCTACTTATGTTTTTTGGGAAGGGGGGCTGTGGCTCAGTGGGTAGTGAGCTGGACTTCGAATCAGGGGATAGCAAGTTCGAGTCCCACTGCAGTCAGCATGTCGTTGTGTCCCTGTGCTCCAGTGGGGATTGTCCACAGTACTGAATGTATGTAAGTTGCTTTGGATACAAGCGTCTAACAAATGACATGTAATGTAATATGTTCATCTCGTAGAGTGTGTGTGAATAGACCCTCCAGAAAAACACGATTCTGCGATCGCAGAATTTACTGCAAAATAGCCCAATTGCTTTTACAATAAATAAACATTGAATGTGTTTAATTGAATAGTAAAGGGGTTTAACGTTAGTGGCAGGTTGTGTGTGAGAGAGAATAAAAATAAGACAGCCCAATATTTATTTTTTCCGCATATTTCGCAACTTTCCGCATATTTCGCAACTTCCCGCAATTTCACCGCATAAAATCACATAAAAACCCCGCATGTTTGATTGCATAATCAAGGATTTTAGCCCGCATAATCAAGGAATTTAGCCCGCATAATAAAGGATTTTTGCCCGCGTTTTTCTGGAGGGTCTAACTGTTCAGAGGAAAATGCGTGAATCAGGCCTTAATGGTCCAATCGCTACAAAGATCCATACTGAAGATGAACAGAAAGAATAAGAGAATTGTTTGGGCCAAGAAACACAAGGATTGGACAATAGACAGTGGAAATCTGTAATCTTACATGTACTTGGTCTCATGGGTCCAAATTTGCGATTTTTGGTTCCAACCTCCGTGTCTTTCTGAGACGCTTTCTGGTGACACTGTTGGTGATTTATTCAAGACTCAAGGCACACTTAACCAGCATGGGTACCACAGCATTCTGCAGTAGCCAGCAAAATATAAATAATATTCTGGATTTGTTCACACTTTTTTGTTTACTAGATAATAATATGTATTCTTTTATAGTTTTGAAGTATACATCTACAATGAAGAAACATTTGAAATAAATAAATAACTTCGAATTTCAAGGTGTGTCCAAACTTTTGACTGGTACTGGTACTATTGTACATCGCATGTTTATTGCACAAGATCTTGACAGTCAGTTTTGTCAAATTGGCTTCAACTAGCCATTGCGTTAAAGCCACAAGATTAAAATGTTCACTTCTTACCTATGAGTGGATCAGTAGTGATAATCTCATTATCACTATACATACTGTGGGTAAAAGTCTTTATACTCGGTCGTACATATTTTACATAGTTGATTCTTAACTAAGTATATTTTGCAGAAAGTGCAAGTGTAAATGTCTTCATAAACTGTCCATAAGTGTAAAAGTTATCCAAAGTGCTTGTGATATATACGTCAATTATAATAAAGCTTGTTATACCTGAACAGCAGCATGAGAGCTTGGAGAAAAGTGCGGAAGTTGTTGTGGTGATTAATAGCTGTGTCCTCATTCATCGCAATGTTGCCAAACACCTACAGCAGAGACAGTGAGGGAAATGGATATACTGTTTTCCTTTTTTTTATTAGGAATGGTAAACCACAACATGAATATCATGACCTCCGCGAGCACAGCATCACCCACCTGCATCCCAATGATGGCATAGATGAAGAACAGCATAGCAATCAGAAGGCAAACATAAGGCAGGGCCTGGGGGAAAGAAAACAGGAAACAGGAAAACAAGAACACATTTACACATTCCAGACAGGAATCTTTGAGTGCAGTAAAAGAAGACAAATTGCTTTACTATCCCTCCATTATTATTTCACAAACACACATAGGCCTGACAAACACATATGTCCACCCTGTCTCTTAAAAACAATGTTCCCATACAGCAAATATGCATTCTCAAATGTGTTCCTAAAGAAAGAGAACTTAAAAAATAAGTCAATGTTGACTTTTGGTTTCACATGAGACATGAACAGTGACAATGTCCTGTGTTTGTTTGACCCATCCACCAACCCTGTTCTTACCTCCTTCATACGACGACCCACACTTTGATATGAAATGTATTTTACTTATGTATTTTTCCTCATGTGAGTGTGTGAGTGTGTAAAAGTGCAGGTGTGTGAGCACCTTGAAGGACTGGACAAAGGTCCAGAGCAGGATGCGGATGGTGTAGCCCTGTCTCAGCAGCTTGATGAGCCGGGCCGCTCTGAACAATCTCAGAAAGCTCAGGTTCAGCAGCCTGTCCTGTTAGAAAGACGACATCAAACCATTATCAACCACATACCAGGATCCCTCACTGAACACAGCCTTACTAGGGCTTATTAAAGTCACCTCAGCTGGTTATCTGTTCAGTTATTACTCTATACATACTCTAACTATGATTCTACAATATTCTGTGTCATGGGTTGAGAAAGCCTGCTCAATTTACCAATCCTGACTCTCTATTTTCCAGGAGCTGATATAAATCTGTATCATGGCCCAGAGATCACTCCTTAAAGCCCCTGTCACACTGTCCCGAACTTGACACCCGATGGACACACGATTAAGGAAATGTTCAAATTCGGCTCTGATCGTAACAACATCGGGCCATTCGTGAGGGCATCTTAAGCCATCGTATGACCGCTGGTGGAGTTTCTCAGGCTCCGGCAGCAACTTTGTGAGCGGCAACTTCGTAAGGCACTCGTGAGGGCATCTTGTCAAATCGTGAGAGCATCTTGTTATCATCGGTGCCATCGGGCATTCGCCCTCACTCTGATCGGGGCGAATGCCCGATGGCACCGATGATAAAAAGATGCGCTCACGATGGCCTTACGAAGGGCAAAATTGACACACGAATTCAACACGAAAATGAACCTTCGCAAGGTCTTTCGACAATTTTTTGGCATGCCAAAGATTTTGCCACCGCTCACGAAGTTGCTGCCGATGGCTTAAGATGCCCTCACGAATGTCCCAATGTTGTTACGATCAGAGCTGAATTTGAACATTTCCTTTATCGTGTGTCCATCGGGTTGTTTTATTGCACAACAAAATCATGTAAACATATTATGTAAATAACCCAATTTTTGTTCTGTGAAACTGAAAAGGATATAATATATTATTTTGAAGGCGAGTTGACAGGAAGTTGTTGTTGCTATGGAAACAACATTACGGAGAAAACTTAATATCTTCTACATATAAAGACGGAGAAAGTAAAGAACAAAGTCTGAAAATATCAGTACAGTATCATAGTACTTTAACATAATTGTTGTTGTTACTTTCGTTGCAGTTGTATGTCTTAAATGTAATGTAAATGTTGCCTTTGTGTGTGGTTCGTTGCCATTTTCGTGCAAATTCACAATTCAATATTCGTGTGTCCATCGGGTGTCAATTTCGGGACAGTGTGACAGGGGCTTTAACAGTTGTGAAGATTTAGCAGCCAGGTATATATTGCACAGATATTAACGGCATATATATATATATATTGCACATAGTT